TCGGCGAGGGCAGGCGGGGCTGGCAGGGGGCGGGTGCTGGGCTGCGGCGTGGCTCGGCCCGCCCGCCCCGGCAGCCCCCCCGAGAAGACGGCTGTGTTGGTGCAGCCGGGGCTCGTCGTCTCTTTGCTCCTCTTGCAAGTGCGCTGGGGGATCTACAGATTTAAATAACGGGATATTAAAGTGCGTTTTCAAAAAAAACCAAGTGTTCTGCTTTCTTGTTTCCTGGAAATCGGACTCCCCGGTACTGAAGTATGCCGATGAGGAAGGTGGGGCGGAAGATAAGCCCTTGGCCTTATCTGCAGTCCGCTGGGAGCCTGGGTGGGGGGGGCTGATAAGGAGTTGTAGCTGTATAAAGGCAGAAGTAGGAAGCGAGGGTGTTAGGGGGCGAAGCGAGGTGGAGGCGGTGATCCCGAGGCTGAAAGATGAGGAGAGCAGTGAGGCTTGCGCTGCCCGCAAAAGGAATTACTGTAACGGGGTGATGACAGCGACAGAAAACGCGCAGCTCTCAAAGCGTATTAAATAGCGTGGTGTCCGCGACCACTGTTTTTCCTGCTCCATCTTTGCTTTGCTCTTGAGAAACGTGCCCAGGAGGAGATGGGGTTGCACCTGGGAGCCCCTCTGCCATAACACACGGTTTGCTGCCTAACTTCCGTGCCCCGTTTCTGCGAACGTGGGCCGTCCTCTCCTGCCCCGCAGCAGCAGCGTCCGGGCTTTCCCGTGGGAGAGCGCCGCACCGTTTCAGCTCTCGTGCTGCAAGGCTGGTTGGAGGGGAGAGGGAGGGAAAGCCTCGTACGCTGGGGAGATCTGGCGGGGCGGGAAGGAGGTGCCGTACTTTTACTGTTGCTGCCTGGCAGCCGAACTCCCTGCAGGGGGAAGGGCTGTCCCGGGAGCCGAGTCTGCCCGTTCCCTCTGCGCTGCGCTGGGAGCCCACCCCTGCCGCCTCTGCTTCCCCCCCCCCGGTTTTGGCTGGAGGCCGGTCACCGCAGCCTCAGGGGGTGGACTTCTGTCGTCTACGCTTCGGCTCCATCCCGGGGCGGG